CGCAGGGGCCGGCTCAACCGGGCTGCTGGCTCTCACCGGTGCCGTTGCCAATGGCGCAGGTCTCGTGCTGGCGGTGACCTGCGCTGTGACTGTCCTCGCGGTACCCAGGTGCCAGGCCGATGGCAGGCAGCAGGCATCGGATGCCGATCACAGTCACGCGCGGCACCGTTTGCAACTGGTCTGAGCGTTGTACTGTGGGATCCTGTCCGATATGTCCCTGCTATCCATGGCGCAAAGGGTTGGTCAAGTTGTGCCGATGTTCTGTCCAGCATTACGTCAAATTTGACGCTTTCCGCGTAAGAGAAGACACGATTGTCATTTCGGTGCGCCCAGCGTCAGACGGATGCACAGCACCCCTTGAAGCCCGACCCCCAGGTTCGACGCAACTCTGCAGTACTTGAAGACGGTGCGCACTACAGAGCGACAGTTCAGCGCAAGCTCGGGTGCCCTTGATGCCCTGCCCTTCAGGGTGTCGCAGCGCGCCTGTGCTTTGCACGCCCAACTTGGCAGCCGGGCGGCCAGCTGGCCCGCGCGGATTGGTGCCGTCACGGCCGCCCCATACCCACCCAACGCGAGCAGAAAACGGACAAAACAGCACGGTTTTGAACATTATGTGCCATGCAACACGATTGAAAATCGTGTAAAAATCGTGTAAAAATCGTGTCAAATCCTATTAAATCGTGTATTTGTCGTATGAAAATGGGACCAAGCCGGGTAGCAACGATTGAGTGCGCATGGTTCTCGCACGTTCTGGTACGGTTTTACACGATTTTCGCACTGCTCGAAACCATGTTCTTTTGGCTGATTTCGTGCTTGTGCAAGTTGGTGAGAATCTCCCCTGTTACTGCGTAACGACCCCAGCCCCGCCATCCACGCAATGCAGCCAGCGGGCCGGCCCTTGGCAGCCAAAGAAGCATCAGCCGCCTTCGCCGCCGGCAGACTTACAATGCTCTGCTGAGAAAGGTGCCAAGCACGTACCCTGTATTGAATGCAGGTCAGCGTGGGAGATGCTCGCATCAGGCGGGTACTTTGGTTGCGGCAAGGGGACCAGAGCAAGAGAAGCACTGGCGTCTGGCTCGTGCAAAATTGTGCGCACGGTTGTGGCCTGGCACTTATGTTAATCAGATTGCAGGAGATAGCAACACTATACGTTGGCATGCCTCCATCCTGTGTACATACTCCCACCCGAAAACGCAAGCCACGTTTGTGCCAATGTTGGGCTGTTTGCAACAATTGTGTGCGCGTCAGGGAAGAATTTTGTGACAAAATACTGATTGTCTGTTCCGCCGTGCTGGGAAACGAGGAACGTCAGTCTTCAATTGCATATGAATCTCTCCAGCCCAGACACAACCGATGGACCAAGGGTTTCTCTAACAGGGCTCCAGAGTGGCGCCCCAGAAGTGGAGCATTCACTTCTGTCAGTTTGGTCCAATCTTTCTAGGCCGCAAAATATTGCACGAAGCTTCAGTCAATCTTGCCAGAATACTAAAATCTTGTGGATGTGCCAAGGAACCCAGCATGCCCTGCTCGATGATGATGTAGCGTCCAACGTCCACGTCAATCTCAAACTACAACCTGCAAGGTCCATGAAAAGAATGGCGTTGCGACTGTTCGAGGATGTGCAACGCAGCGCTCACTGACACTGGCCCACCCAGGCCTCCAAATGCACAATGCTCTCCTTTCCGTGGCTGCCACCGACCGCCTCCCGCCACCCCAGCTGCGTTCTCAGCAGCGGGGCCGAACACCCCAACTGCACTCTCAGCAGCAGGACTACCCGACTGTCTAGCGCCAAATGCCCAACACGGTTCCAAATTTCAACTTGAATATTCCCCCGCCTCCTTCCAACCACCCCACTAACGCCACCGCCGCTAATTTGTTCCACTTTATTCTGGAGCCAAAAGTCGCCCCTGCTGTGTTACGACCGCCCACTCATCCCAAGCCCTCCAGCTCTCCCGATACCGCCGCCAGGCGGCCCGCCAATCCCGCCCCTGTCCGCAACCCGACTCGCAAAGACCTTGTAAATGGCGTCAGATGGCATGCGCCCCGCATACTCCCCTCGGTCCAGGGCGCTCTCCCATCCTCCCCCTTCACATCCTCGGACGTCTCCGGCGCCCTGGTTCCACCTCAAGCCCCCTCCTCGCCCCAACACACACTCCAGCGCCAGAAAGGCGCCTAAATACGTCCTAACAGCGCCGCAGCGCCCAAACAAGGTGCTTAAGTACACCCTGGCAGGGCCCCAACACACTTTCCAGTGACCAAACATGGCGCCCAAATGCGGCCAAATGCGGCCAAATGCGGCCAAATTCGCCCAAATGCGCCCAAATGCGCCAAAATGCGCCAAAACGGCAAAGCGGCAAAACCAAGGGCGACAGCACCCAACAGGACGCCACCCTCAAAACAGGGCGCCAGCGCCCAGGACGGGCTCGCCCGCCTACCCATCACCCGTTCTCCCCTCGCGTTCGACAACGCCGATCACAGTTGAATCGCACACACCCCAAGTCACCGCCAAAAATCGACAGCCCAGCGCACCTACCGCGTGGAGTCTGCGGCGGAGGACATGGCGTCTGTGGCCCACCCGCCGCGCTGCCTGTCGGCTGCCGCCAGCGCGTCGGCCACCTTGATCGGATCCACGCCCCCGGGGTGGGCCTCCAGCAGCAGCAGGGCGCCCCGGACGGGGTCCAGGATGTCCATGAGCAGGCGGCGCATGCCGTCGGCGGCGATGCGCCGCTCGAGCCGCACGTTGGACTTGACGCGGTCCCACACGGATCGCAGGTGCTCGGAGAGGGCCTGGGGGGGGTCACTCGACGCGCCCAGTAGCGACCTGGCCTGTGGACCGGGGGGGCGGGAGGACTCAGGTGGGGAGGATGCCTTCCACGGCACTGCGATGAATCTCGAAACTTTCGCTCAAAAATGACCAAAATGTGCCTTTCGCCCAACGCTCAAAAGAAGCCGGTATCACTGTTTGTTCTTGAAAAGATGTAGCTGAGGGTTTTGAGACGCGGTCTTTCCGATCGCGACCTCCTTTACAATTTGAAGGACGTGTTTTCAAAGTATTTGTCTCTCAAATAGGCGACGTTCGACATGGATCAGAGGAAGTACGATATACTACGACAGATTCCACTAATGTAGACCCAGGAACCACGATGGGCGACACAACGATGGGCACAGGAACCCCGTAAGACGGCACTCACCAGTAGAAACAGACGTTCTGCAGTGTCGAGTGCGATGCCATTTGACACCAATTGATGCCAGCACACCTACTTTTTGCCGTCACAATCACTGCGATGGCGCCCCTTTGTGTCAAAATGGCATCACAGCTGGCATTGCAAACGTGGTGTTTTCTGACAGTGACTAAGATAGACCACGGAACCACGATGGAAGGCACTGCGATGCACCTAGGAAGAGCGTGGGCGGAGGCGTTCGCCGATGAAGACCATGGGGAGGAGTTTCCTAGATTTTGCATTGCTTCCTGGGAGGTTGGCTTTCGGAGGGCCTTGCCTGATTCGCACAGCTAGGAACGGAATTCGTGCAGTGTTGCTGTAAACTAACAAACTGACTGCACTTACAATGTCAAGCCCCCTTGCAAAACTAATGCAACAAATATTACTATGAATTTTAACTGTCCGTTTCTTAACTAAAGTGTTGACGTTCATGGAATTCAATGGTTCGAGTGGTACCAGATTGCGTAAGCTTCACCTTGTTCTGGGTCACAATTTGCGTTGGCGATTGAGACAGCGAGCGTCAGCGTCAAGCCACCCCGCCAGTTTCGTGGCGAGAACGTCTTCTTTCTTTTCTCCATTCTAAAGCTTTAGATGACATTCAACTGTGAATGCGGTTTCTGCTCTGGTTCATAGATTCCTCGATCGGCTTTCTAACTCGATAGATCGACCCATGGACGGACCGGGATCTTGACCACCTAATGGCACCGCGAGCAATGGGAAGTTGACGGCTACGTCCTTATCTTCTTACACCAGCAAAAAATTGCACATTTCCCACACTTTCGAAGTACGTTAAACTGGGACCAACTTGGGCATTTTAAGCTCAAAATGAGTGGAAATTGGACCAAAACGCGTGATCTTAACGGAGCTCTTGGTGCAGCTTCTCCCCCATCGTGAATCGCCGAACGACCATGCCGGGATCCACGGCGACGCCTCCGCCGACCCGCCCCACCCCACCTTTTCGTTCAGCCTGCACCTCTCCTCGCACACCACCCTCAGCCGCGCCATCTGCGCCGCCCTCATCTCCAGGATGGCCTCCCGCTGGGCCTCGCCCAGGCGCAGCCGCCCCAGCCGCCTCGCCCATTCCTTCACCTCCCCATGCCATGGCTCATCGTGGCTCGGGCCGCTGACGAGATCGGAGGGCCGCGCGGGCCGAGACGCCAGCCTGCGGGCGCCGAACTCCGCGGCGGCGGCCACGAGGGTGGCCAGGAGGGCCAGCGCCGTGCATGGCGCCTGGTCGTCGCCCGCGGAGATGCGGTGCTCTTTCAGGACGGACCGCAGCAGGCGCACCTGCGCGGTGTGCGGGCGAATTCAAGCTTGGCATGTGTACATTTTATCACTCGATGATGGCCGGATGCATTTTGACGAACGTTTGATGGACAGCTGATGAATCTTTGACGCAATTCTGTTGTGTCTGTTTTAGCGAGATTGCTGTTTACTGGTTGTCTTTAATGAAAGGGAAATGGTGCATTGGAGGTGCAGGTCGCGTTTAGATGAGGTGAAGTCACGAGGAATGAGCGGTTTTCATTGACTGACTGTGACGTCATCATGATGTTTCAAGCATATACTACGAATTGGTAAGCGAAGTACATAATGGAGTTGATTGCAGTGAATGTTCACCCTCCTTCTTTCGTTGATTCAACCAGCGGTTCTGTTATATTTCTTGATTTCAAACGTGATGCAACATTTGAAAACAGGGAGGAGAAAAAAATTCTCAATATAAGCTGAGAAAGGACACTGCAATGCCATAGGAGACACTGGGCAAGTACTCGGCATGTAATTGAGTACAATCGGGCGTGCAACAAGAACATTAACCCGACGGTATTTAAAATATTCGCCCGGCGAGTCAGACATGCGTGCATGCACTACTGCGGCAAAGCACTGCGGCAGCCCCTGCGCGCATCGACAGCCCGCTCTAATCAAGTTTGTCGCCGTCCTGCCGCGCCGCGCCTCGCCACGCCCGCCGCGGGCCCTTTGGCCAAAAATAAAATTTTTGTCGTGGGCGATTGGCGTCTCTCGCCCTGGCCGCCGCGCGAGGTTTGCCGGCATCCGCAGCGAAGCGCGCGTCGAGGCGGGAGCGAGGCGACTTGCGGTCGCGAGCAAGGCGACCTGCAACGAGGTTTGCGTCAACCGATGACAAAAGGCGCTTCGACGGACCTAGGGCTCCAGGCACGTCCCAGAGCCAAAGGAACAAGGGCCCACCGGGCTTGAAAGCCAGGGCAGACGGTGGCGCTGCGCGACGCGGCGGCACAGCGGAGAGCGGCGCGGCGTCACGCCATGGCAGCCGTCGTGGCTCAGCGGCGGGAATAGTTGCACAGGCCTCTGTTAGGCGACCAGGTGCCAATGCTCCCATCGGCTGATCCATCCTAGCGGGTGCCACCGCCCCCTCCCAGACCCCATGCCACTGCCCCGTTGCACTATGGAAGACCCACCCGCCGAGCCTGGCGGTCACGCCACTCCTGGATAGCGCCCGCCCGCTGTTGGCTGCCCATCGCACCAAATTTCTGGAGTGCACAACTGCTCTGGATTGCCGACGACTGGGGTCAAGTGTTCATCCCCCGGCGCCCCGCCCGCCTGCATAAGAGGGCGCCTGGTGAAAAGGACTCCAATTGGCTCCCACTCGGCCCAGCCCACTCGGAGGCCCGTTGGCCATGGCCAGCAACTTGCAAAGTGCGTGCAATCTGCAAGTGTGCCGCGCCAATCTCCGCTGGCATTCAGCCGGCGCCAGCCTACCCGCACTCCCACCCACCCCACAAACTCGCTGCCCTCTCACGCACGCACCTGGCCTCAACTTCTGCGAAATCGCCGCGAGTCTGCTAGCTTTGTGGTCGCCGCCAAAGCGCTCAAACATCAACTCGCGCTGCGTGCTTTGGTTTCACAATCAGCTGGATGAAACCTTGCCAAAATTGACGCGGATAGCAGGCCTGCACTGCCTGAGCGATCCCTGGCAGTTGGATGCTGGTTGCTTTGGCAAACGCGTGTGAATCGCAGTTGCGCGCAACCCTTTCTCCGCTCCTTTCCAAGATCTTGCGTGCCGACTTGTGGGGGCTGCGAGCCCCGCCAAACCGTTTCCCAACCTTGCCGCCCTGGCCCAAAGCGGAGTTTTGCAAGAGAGTTGCGTTTCGTTTTGCCCTGGTGAATTGAATGGATCGACTTCGAGGGTCGCAGCGCCCCATTTCTCACAACGAGCGCCACGGATGCCGATCCTGGCTTGGATCCCGGCCCTAGAATGTCAGCGATTGGAGCGGCAGGTAGGCGCGATCCTCCGTTGATCCAGGCAGCGAACGCTGCCTTTGCTCCTGGGCTGACACAGCGCGGGTGCACTGCGCCCGCCAGTCGACTGGCCGCGGGCACAGGTGTGGGCACCCGCGGTTCTCAATGCCCCGCGCATTTCTGCCAGAGGGCGTACCCGCGCATCGCTTGCCTACGGGGCGACCCTCCCAAGTGTCGATTTGCATAACATAGTGGCACCCAACCCGAAGCCCCATTTCGCTGCAAGGCCGGGAGCGCTGTATGGTTCCCAGAAATGCCCCCATGAGCCTGTTGTCTTTTGTGTCACTGCAGGGAATATGTGGCAGCCAAGAGACACACCTGCGCACATTTTTTGGTCCCCTCTTGCTGGCTGGAAATTTAAAATTCAAGTTGCTCAGCATTCCTTGCGTCCAAGCACCATGCTTGTGGTGTGTTGTGCTAGGCACTGCCCATAATTGCCTCGATCACCTTGTGCATCTTTGGGAAAGATGCTTTTTAGGCTTTGGTAACTTCACTGCTAAGCAGCCGTGCGGGATGCCTGAATTCTATCAAGTCTGCAACATGTGCTGTTGTAAACTTGATGCACACCACACGCGTTAGACGTTGCCTGACAAACACCGCAACCCATAGTGTCACACCACAACATTGTTTTGCTGACCGCCTTGCCTGTCATATTCCTGCCAGTTCGCACCAGTTTATCCCAACTGCTGTGATGGATGCACGGACTAGTGCACCAACTTGCACGCACATTTCTGCACTGACTCACCATTTATTGGTACACCAAACGCTGCACCGATTGGTGCACCGATCAGCGCATCAAATGTTGTGCTGATTACTAATGCTACTTCCCATATTATCACAGTTCTCGCCTTCCTCCATGGCTCAAATACTGCCAAAATTGCCACGCCAACTGGCACAGCTATCACTACAACGATTGCTGCACTGATTGCATCCATTCGTGCACTGATTCGTACACAGATTGATGTATCGCTTGGCACATCAGACACTGCATTGACTGCTCCATTAAGAGCTGCACTGATTGCTGCACCGATTCATGCAGAGATCGGTGCAACAATCACTGCATCAAAAGGTCCATTAATTGGTGCACGAGTTCGTGCATCGATTATTGCAACAATTCCCACACTGATTGGTGTGCTTAACTTCATCTTACAAAACAAGTTCAGCTGACTGAATTGCACTGCCATTCAACATGTGCAACTCATTTTACAGCTCATTTTCATTCAGCTCCCTTTCTACATCTCAAACACCATATATGTAGCCAGTGCAACAGTGCAATGCCACGCCGTCGGGTTAATCAGAGGACCGCGCTTGCGTAGCGCGCGCGGATATCCGGCCTTGTAATCATGAAACAATTTTGTTGAAATGCCACAAATTGCACACCAGCAGTGCGCCATGCGAACAGACCACCCCTTGCAAGCGTAACATGGGCTCCATGGCATTCTACCCTTCAACAACATTTCGATGTGCAACCTCAAATACTCATTGGCTAGTGCAATTTCTTTCCAACAGCAACTTCCACTTCTCCCAAAGCGGTATTACCCGAACTGGAGACATGCTCCCGGTTGATATGTTTATGTGACGAGTAGATGATTCAAACAGATGATTGCCAACAAGATGACAGTATCTCGTTAAATCAAAATCACTGCCATTTTGCCCACTGGGTGGAGGCAGGAGCTGTCAACACACTGGCCAAAGCCTGGCGAGAAGGGCGGTGCTGGGTAATTTGTGCCGCACCAGCGTAGTTTCATCAAACATCGGGGAAGAAGCGCTGGCATCGTCGCTGGCGTGTGCTGTGACGTTGTTCGCCGTTGACAACAGTGCTGCGTCAGGCACCGGCAGTGACCAGGGGATGGCCGCAGGCTGGTCACGCACGTCCCCTGCAGTGGAGGTCGATGGGGGGGGCGTGAGGACTTGTCGTCGTGCGCTGAGCACACTTATCAATGTTTGCTGCTCTCGCACGATGGCAGCCAGCCTGTCGTTGCCAGCCCTCAGTGCAATGTTCTCCTGCAGCACAGCCTCCAGAAGGACAGAGCTCTCCTCCAGGTTCTTAACGATCACCTTCATCTGTGACGAATCGACACCGCCGCGTCCCCTGGAAAGCACAGATCTGCTCAAAACGCAGTCTTCGCGCACCCCACGTTGCCCCAGCCGCAGAAGCCCTGGCGCACAGTGCACGGCACCTCTGAACATCGTTTTGTACGCGCCAGCGAAGCATTTTGTCGTTTGAGGACACTAGTTAATTCGTTTTTTAATCGAACTTTTTAGTTGATCTTTTTATTTGATTTTCTTTTTTCGATGAACACGGAAGGATAAGGACAGTTGCCATATAGGCTGTGGAAATGAGTCTCACAGGATTCTTGCACTTGTGCAGAGATTGAACCGGTAGTGAAAACTGTACCGCACGCAGGGCACAGCTCTCCTAACCACAGGTTGGTGAGCCTGCGTTCCATGCTGTGACAAATGCCGTCGAGGTGTCAACAGGAAGGGCAACATAACAAACACTATTGCAGAGCCCTCGCAGCAACAAAGCGCGCAGCCAAAGAGATTACCACGGACGCGGAGACAGCGTCCATTGCTGAGGGTCCCATCTTGTGGCTCGCTTTCGTTTCTGTTGAAGCCATTCATTGGCAGCATCTCGTAATATTTCCCCCTGGAAGCGTAACTTCCTAATGCCTGTTTTGGAAGTATTTGCTTCACATATCCGCCAATACTCACCGTACACATCCAAATTGGACTGCAGCTGTCTGAATGGACAACGCAGACAAGGCCCCAGCGCCTCGCAGGCGACAACGGGGACGGAAATCCCCATTCGGCATTTGTTCAGTTTCGACATCATCGTTCCCCTCGTCGATTCGCTTTTCAGCTCAGTCTCAAATCGGCCCCGTGCCCGGCCAGGCAGCGTGAAACGACCGGCAGAAATCCCGGCCAAACGTCCCAGGTGGGCACGCCCGTGGCCGCCACATCACAAAGGCCGCAAGCCGAAATGCGAAGTGAGAGACTTTGCGGACATCGCTTCG